CATGATGGAGTGAGCTCCTGTCAGTAGTCCCAACTTCTCAGTGGGAAGGTAAACACCATTCTGTGCAATCATGCTGGCCAAATGATCACAGAGTAGTCTCTGACAACACTGGCTCTTTGGCTTAGTAACAGAGATGAGCACCACCCCCTATGGTCGGACATGACTTGACAAGCTTGTCAACAGGTAATATCTTTCCTTTGCAAGATATTCTGCAAAAATATAAAATTGCAAAATCAAGGTTTGCTTTTTAGAATATTATATATATATTCTAAAAAGCAAACCTTGATTTTGCAATTTTATATAGGGAACACCATTTTACTATCCATTGTATTTAATGGGATTTGAACATCCACAGATTTTGGTATCCACAGAGAGTCCTGGAACCAAACCCCAGCAGATACCAAGGGCACACTATACTACAGGAATGTTCAAGAGATACTAGCAATTAATTGGTTAAATTTATACAGTGGATTGGATATAATTAAGGAAATGATCACAGGATACTGAATAACATGTAAAGTTTTGAAGAGATAGGAAGAAGAGGGGTTAATACTTAATAAGGAAGGCATAGGAGGGTGTTGGGAGCTAAACTAATTGGGTTGGACATAGATGAAAGTACGGCAGGATAGATAATTTAAATAGTTCTTACCTACCTGTGATTTCAATTAAACGTTAGAGTAGACACATATAAGGTATCAGACAGAGGACTGCATTGCATGTAAAATGTCATGTTCCTAGCAGAGAGTGTGTTCATTAATTTTTCATTTTGTTATGATATGATGTCAAGTAGACTTCAATTTATTGGTCCAATGAATGAGAGACCTTCAAGAGGTGCAGTCATCAACTGTCCTCCTAGGGTCTTGTAGACTGGAGGACAAAGCAGAACAGCATCTGATCGGCCCAGGACCGTGATGACCAGATGGCCTGCTCTCAAAGCGGGTTGCCACATTGATCCCAAGTCATCTGCCAGCAGGAGCGAGGTTTTTTACCAATCCTTTTACTGGTGGCTTCGGACTGCCTTAGGCGGCCTTGGAGTGGCTTCTGGCCACTCCAGGGTCATGTGTCATCTGCACACCATGCCCCCAAAGCAGTCAGAAGCTGGTCCTTTTGGCCCATCTGTTTTGGATCCTTGGCCTCCATAATTGAACCAATCCACCTGTAGTGCAGTGTCCCTCTTTTCCTACTGCATCCCACTTTACTTGTCTTTTCCAGTGAGTCATATGTCTTATGATATGTCAAGAGAACAACAGCCTCAGGTTAGTAATCTTAATTTCTTAATTTCTAGAGACAGTTCAGGCTGATTTGCTCTTGGACCTCCTTATTCATCTTATTGATAGTCCATGGCAGGGGTAGACAACCTAAGGCCTCGGGGGGCCGCATCCGGCCCCCCGAGGCCTTTGGACCGGCCCCAGGCCAGTCCTGCCGCCACCGCCCCCCCGCCACCGCCCACCATGATGATATTGATTATTGTTGTTATTACTTGTTCTTGGGGTTTTCTTGGCAAAATCTCCACAGGGTTTTTGCTGTGGCTTTTCTGGGGCTGAGAGAGTGTACATGCATATTTTTTACATTTTTTAAAAAAATTATTTATTTATTTATTTATTTATTTATTTATTTATTTATGGTGCTTCGGCCCCCCAATTGTCTGAGGGACAGCAACCTGGCCCCCGGCTCAAAAAGGTTGCCTACCCCTGGTCCATGGTATCCATAGATCTCCTCTCCATCACATTTCTGCTGTTTCCCTCCTTGTTTGCTTTCTTCACTGTCCAGCTTTCACAACCATTTATAGAAATTGCAAACAGTACATGAATGATTCTCACTGGCATTCAAAGATATATTTTTACATTTGAGAATCTTATCTGGTTCCTATATACTTGTTCATACGTGTCAGTCTTCTGATTGCTTGATACCATCTCCATTTGGTTATATAAATCACCTGCAGTTATGAAGTTATAACTGATTTCTTAACTACCATCTCCATTTGGTTATATAAATCACCTGCAGTCATTACTTTTGTCTTCTCAATATTCAACCCTGTTTTTGCACTTTGTTCTTTAACTTTCACCAGTAGTCATTTGTCTTTACTATTTTCTTCAAGCAATATGGTGCTACTGTTAGAACAGAACATGGAGAAACAGAATGGTTCCCAAGTGGCAAAGGGGTAATGAAAAGCTGCATCCTTTCACCCTATCTATTCAATTTATGTCAGAAAATATTATATGACGAGCTGGCTTGGAAACAGAAAAAGAAGGGGTGAAAACAGCAGGGACAAACATCATCAGTTTAAGAAGCTTATCTGGTTTAAAATTTAAAGTGGGTGACATCCTTATCTTATCAGAAAGATTTAGCCACTGAAATCCTCACCCGGGTCCATCCCCGCTTCCAGGGGCACTCAGTGTGCCTTTTTTCAAGGCCAGGAGTTTTCTGGCTTAAGAAAATGGCCACTGGAGTGGCCCTGAGAGTGAAACTGGACCTGGACTGGACCCAGGCAGTGATTTTGGTGGCTAAATCCTTCTAAGATCAGGATGCCACCCACTTTAAATTTTAAACCGGATCAGGTAAACCAGTTTTAAAACAATGTGATGATCTCCTAAAATATGCAGACAACACTATCTCTTTCTCTCTCTCTCTCTGGCTTTTCTTCGCAAACGAAGATTCAGGAAG